CTCCTAGATATTTGAATGCTTCAACCTGTTCAATTTTACTGTTATTAATAAAAACCGGTGCTAAATTGATGTCAGATTTACTGTGAAATTGAATCATGTACAAGGTAGAGTATATTGGAGCTTATCCAACCTTTAGGTACTCAAACATTTGTTATAATAGCATATGCCATTATTTTGTTCACTTTGACTCTCTGAACTGTTAGTAAGAAATGAGATGTACCAGCGGGTCAAAGACACTGTAGAACCCAACCCAACATCTTTAACAAATGAAATGAGTGTAGTTAACTCAAAAGTTACTGAAAGTTAATTATATTCATTTGAAAAGAGTTTTGAACTTAGTGTTGAAGGTAATTAATTCATTTAAAATAAAGTAATGATGTATTTAATTAAGTTCACAGTACTCATATAGATATTTTTTTTAACTCAAATGGTTTGTAGCAGTCAGTTTCCACAAACGGTTTGAGTTGCCTTAACTTATTTGGGTTTACAGTACTTGGTTTGAGTTCTCTTCATTTATTGGGTTTTACTGAGCTCAAATTGCTTCGTTTACTCAAATGGATTAAGTTCACAGTACTCATTAGGGTTCTTTTTTAACTTAAATGGTTTGTTGCAATCGGTTTCCTCAAATGGTTTGAGTTTCCTTTTCTGTTTGGGTTTTACAGTGTAGGGATTAACACACAAGTTTTGAAGCTAATACGTACACATTTATGGTGTTGAACACTGACGAGATATCTAAAAAACAAAGTTCTTATGGTCGTATTGGATTGGATATGTACTACAACAACAGTATCTACCATATGTTTTTGTAGGCACAAGTTTATCTTTAACCATTTTAACCAACTGATAAAGTAACAATCTCTCAAAACAATAACATCAACAACCTTACTGTAATTACTAACTGCATGGTGGCTCAGTGGTAAGCACTGTTGCCTCACAATAAGAAGGCCGTTGGTTTGAGCCCCAACTGGGTCTGTTTCTGTGTGGAGTTTGCATGTTCTCCTCGTGTTGGCGTGGGTTTTGCTCCGGGAGCTCCAGTTTCCCCACAGTCCAAAGACATGCGGTACAAGTGAACTGAAAAAGCTAAATTAGCCGTAGTGTATGTGTGTGAATGCCAGAGTCTGTGGGTGTGAACATTATGGTGAATAATTTCCACTGTGGTGACCCCTGATAAAGGAATAAAGGGAAAATAAATAAATAAATGAATTACTAACTGTACTATAAAGTTTATCCAGGGCTATACTATAAGGTTTGTTCCTTTTAGAAGGTGTGTCTTTTATGGCAATTTACAAGGCGAGATGTGACTTTCAATCCTATCAGGCTAATGCTAACATTTTATAAAATCTCCTATTGCACCTTTAAGCTATGTAAAAGCATCATAATTAAGCTCAGAACACATTTGTAAATGAATATATGCATCCATCTTAGTTTAATAGAAGAGTCAAATGTAACCTTTGAAACATTTGGAGTCTGTTTCATGTTTTCACCAAGCTGCGGATTGCTGAAGCAGACAGGAAAAAGTAGTGACACTGGAAGTGGTCCACAGTAATTACACTGCCCCCTGAAAAATCATTGTGGGCAACCTTCACTGTGCCAACAAAAGCAACAGGGAGGAGGTGAACTTGCATCAGGATTCGTTTTTTTAGAAACAAGTTGCACAGACACAGAGCTGATTTCAACCCAAATGTTTATCCATTAGGGTCATGTGGATTTCTTTTTTTTTTTTTTTTTTTTTTGCATTTTAAAAGCTGCTCTTCTTATATACACTAAAGCAAAGCTTGAGACCTTTAATTTTTCCAGCAATTAGACAACATGTTTTTTGTCACAACATACAAGGCAGCTAGACAGACTAATTAGCCATATGCATCCATAAATAATACACAGCTTTTGAGATTTATTTAACAGGTTTTAAACTGAAATCTATCTTTTACACTGCCTATCAAAAATTGCTGTTGTGTTTATAAAAATTGTTGTTTATTAATAAAAATTCCATGATTATATTTTTGGTCAGTTTACTTTGAGGTCATTTTTGTTTTTTTGTTTTTTTTTTAATTAGTACTTTAGGAAAAACCATAGACTGTAAAAAATGTGGACGTAGTATCCGTGACGTTACCCATAGTTTTCTGAAGAACGCAAAAAGAAGCTACAAGTAAGCTACTTGTAATACCAAACAAGGGCAAAGAGGAAGAGCGTGAGCAAAGCTACAGATGCCTGCTAGCATTTTGCATAGACACACTTTTCTTTGGGAGAAACGCTTTTTTATTTACCTGCCACTCATTTGTGGTTGGTTGTACACCATATCAACAACTAAAAATTTTCTTATGAAATTTTTTGCAGGAGGAAAAAGCTATTTTCTTCCAAACACGTAAAATATATTCTGTGTTAGTAAATGCAAGATTATTTATAAAATCTAGGCATAACACTGTATGACAACGTTTCAGATGACTGTTCTAGAGCCTACAGCTAATCAATCTGTCAGATTCTGGAGTGCCTTACAGTTCTAAAGAAAAATATAAATGATAAATTATCCAAAAAAATAAATAAATAAATTTATAGAGATTCACTCACCTATGTAGGAAATGGAGGCCATATGAATTATTTGTGAGCACAATTAAGTGCACACAGCATGCTATATCATCTGATACTTGTAAAGAAATAATTACAAAAGGCAAATGACTGTGTAAAGCCACTTAAAACAAAACAAAAATATGATGTATATGCCGAGTTCAGCAGCTAATCAGGTGAAATCAGCTGAGGTGAAGTGACGGCGACCAGCAAGACCTAGCTGTCACTTAAGTGGCCATGCCCTTAATTATGTAGACTTAATATAACTTAATATAAACGAAACAGACGAGTTATTAAAAAATTCACCGCCTCACAGTTGTCATGAAGGGTAATATTAGCTATATAAAAAAAATCTTGTTATTATAAGGCTGTAAACACCTTTTTTTCCTGCAGTAAAGTTGGCCATTTTAACAGTGGGCTCAATAGAAATCTGCTCTATTATGAAGCCAGGACTAGCGGAATTTTGATGAATTGCAGTTTCAGTTACTTCAGTATTTGTTTCACGAGGGAGAGCAGAAGGTTGCCACTTGAGAGGAAAACATTAAACTGCTCAAAAGTGAGTTAGGAAGTCTTTTCAACAACAACAAAAAATAACAACATATTTTATTTAAGCAAAAAAAGCATATGATCCAATTATTATGACATATAAACAGTGAATTTGAAAATAACAAATGTGGTGGGGTTGTTTTATATACGGTTTCTTTTTTAAATATTTCCCAAATGATGTTTAACAGAGTAAGGAAATTTTTACAGTATGTCTGATGATATTTTTTCTTCTGAAGATTGTCTCATTTGTTTTATTTTGGCTAGAATAAAAGCAGTTTTACATTTTTTAAACCAAATTTTAAAGTCAATATTATTAGCCCCTTTAAGCTACTTTTTTCCGATAGTCTACAGAACAAACTATCGTTATACAATCACTTGCCTAATTACCCTCACCTGCTTAGTTAAGGATTAACGTAGTTGAGACTTTAAATGTCACTTTAAGCTGTATAGAAGTGTCTTGAAAAATATATAGTTAAATATTATTTACTGTCATCATGGCAACGATAAAAGAAATCAGTTATTAGTAATGAGTTATTAAAACTATTATGTTTAAAAATGTGTTTAAAAAAAAGGGGGGGTAGGGTCTGGGTTATCATTCAGGAGGCCTGATAATTCTGACTTCAACTGTACATTTGTGTATTATACATTTGATGTGAAAAAGAAAAAGACTTGTCTTTTTTCTTACTTGACAACACACTGTGTTTGCTTCAAATGTAAAACTACAATTATTATAGAGATTTTGCTCAACTCTTTACTGCCAATATGTCATCCTGTTCTATTCCTGTACTCTTCAGATGATTAGTTTTTGTCTTTTTAATAAACTAAAACTGTTATTGATAAAGTCATTAAATCCTGACAAAATAACCATAGTTTTCACAAAATATTAAATACCAAAAAAATAATAGTATGAGCACTACTTCTTGAGCACTAAAATCAGCACTTTCTCAAGAATTATATGACACTTTAAATATATAGACCAAGAAAACATTTATTTGAAATGTTAATTAAATATCACAATATTACTCTTCTTGCTGTATTTTTGATTAAATATAGACTTGGCCAGCAAAAAAAAATTATTTAAAAACATTTTAAAAACCTTGCCAACTTCAAAAGTTTTACATCTGCTTCTTGACTTTTAAAAGAGGTAAATTGACTTTGAAAGTTATATTTTTTGACAGAGAGGAACATTTCAACATTGGACTTCATAAGTCAATGTAATAAAAACAATAACTCCAGCCCAGGTTTATTTAGCTTTATAAATTGCTGTAACCCTGACAAGTCAAACTAAAGCAGCGATACTCTTTAGTGATGTCAGCGCGGCTGATTATTTTAAGAAAATATTGTATTTCAGCAAACCGATCTCAGCAGATAAAATATCTCACATCATAAAAAAAACCCTAATTATATATATCTGTATATAAGTCTATCTGTTTTCACCACTCCAGCATTAAAAGGTTGGAAAGGCCGTGTGGGAAAAGTTAAAAGCACCTGTGACCTTCAGATGAGGTCACAGATGACTGACCTGTGCTCAGTCTACTCCATGTACATACTATGTGATTCCTCCATGTTCTCACATTCCAACTCAAATAGATTCACTACAATGATGTGATGTCTCTGTGCGATGTCTTATGTTTATAAAATAAGTTTGAAACATTGCATTGGGAAGAAGTTTAAAAATGTGATAGACCAGGTGAGAGTTTCCATGTACCATTCCACATTTTCCACTGGAAAAAAATGCTCATTTTAAAGCCAATGACATCATATGTAGTTTAGCGATAGAGCAGCGTGACAAAGTAAAACCAACCTGACCACAAATTAGACGTTATTCATAGAAAAACATGTGGATGTTCAGCCAGACCTGTCATATATAGGCTACTGCACTTTTCACTCACCGTTTTGTTCATCTAGCTCATTGCCGATTTCTTGACCCATCTGTTTTTGTCTACTTAAGACTGACGCCAGAGCATCCAGGCCAGCATCCTGGGCTAAAGAGCAAGACACAAAAGAGGACAGAGGTATATTCAGACAAAATATGTAAACCACACAAAAACAAAAGGGCAAAGAATTATGAATGACAGAGAAGTGACACAACTGATGCACACATATAATAATGACAACATTGTGTATAGTACTACGTGCAAATCCCATTTATAATGCTTATATTTACACTGCAGAAACATAAATCAATTTTAGCAGTTGGTTATATTATTTTTAACAAAAAATTAATTTAATAAAGAACATGCTTAACACGTTTTAAAACCCTGTTATTTATAATAATAATAATAATAATAATAATAATAATAATAATAATAATAATCCCTGACATTTACATAGCACTTTTCTGGACACTCAAAGCGCTTTACACATTTTTGGGGGGAATCTTCTCATCCACCACAAGTGTGCAACATCCACCTGGATGACGCAACGGCGGCCATATTGGGCCAGACCGCACACCACACACCACCTGATTGGTGGAGAGGATGAAGCCAATTATGATATGGGGATAATTAGGAGGCCATGATTTAACATCTCATCTAAAACACGGCGCTCAAAGAGCAGTATAGCAGTGGTCCTCAACCACCGGGCCACGGTCCGATAATCAATTGGTACAGGCCGCACAAAAAATCACTTATTATTTCCGTTGTATTTACTATCTAAGCCTGAACGATCTTTTATTTTGTAAAATGACTGTATTCTCTCGCATACATCTCAGTGACTTGACCTTCCAAATTTAACCCACAAGCAGCAAAATAAGAAACAGACGTCTTTGAAAAGTTTCTTTGCTAAAGGGAAAAGGCCCAGTAAAGGACCCATGAACTGCAAAAAATGGATCCGCAATCCATTTGTCAACAAATCAGGTATCCAGCATGTCTGTACAAGAAGATCAACTGCTGGAGATTGCAAATGGCGGCAGCCTTTTAGGGGCCTTCACATATCATGTCTTTGCTAGAGTTAGCGCAAGTTCGTTATTTCCATTGGAGGTGCGCGGCTTGCACTCACAAGCGTTCCGTGGTGATCAAAAGGTTGGGGACCACTGGAGTATAGTTGCTTAGCTTCAGTGGGCGACCACGTGAGACTTGCAGAGAGCCAGCAGCAGGCTAATAATAATTACCATAATAATAATAATAATTACAGTTCTTTGTTATACCAAAAGCAGAAGAATAAATACATGTTTTACAGAAATGTTCAATAAAGAAAGTAAGAAAGCAAATTAAGTCAAAACTGCAAGTGATTCCCTATTGCCTTCCTTACGAAATAATTCTCTGTGCATCTGACCGCTCAATCACAATATATATTAGTAAACAGAACTGAATTTCGAGTGTTTGCTACATGTTGTCAGAGAGACATCTTTCAGTGCACACAAGTCGATTGTCAGCACCCTTCATTTTGAATTACTGTAACCCTTATTTTATCCTTAATTAATGACAACCCCTTTTTAACTGCTGATAGCTTTTTATAAATATACTTTATTTATAAACACAAGCTAACAGCTATCACTGTGCAGCTCTCAAATGGTCACCCACTGAAACTAAGCAGGGTTGAGCCTGGTTAGTATATCTGGATGGGAGACCACGTGGGAAAACTAGAGCAGCTTTTCCACTATTGGGTTGAATGGTTCACTTTACTTAACCTCTCATTCCATGCCGAATGTAAACAATGATATGAACAATGATTAGCTGTATGTATTTTTTATATAACAAAGTAGCGAACTTCCTCTTAGCCAGCTATGCATTCACTGCATTACAGGCATGATTCCCGACTAGAAAAAATATGAAAAAATATTTTAAAAACAGATCATGTGCCTTCAGTGATTTAACTGAAATATTATTAAGCTATGACAATACATTTGTGCAGCACAAAACTAAAATAAAATCTTTATTCAACAGTTTCTTCAGTGTCAGTATAGGGCACACGTTCATGTCTCATGCTTGGTCATGCCTTGGAGAATAAACTTGTGCTTTGTTCCAAACAAAGTTACAGGAATGGGCGGCGTTTACATCACTACACAGTGTTCACCCTGTGCCTTATACTGACATTGAGGGAAAAAAAATGTTGAATAAAACGTAGTTTTATGTACAAATGAAAGTATTGTAGCTTGATAATGTTCCTATTCAACCACTAAAGGCATTTGGTTTGTTTAGAGAATATTCTAGGTATTTTTCTGGACTTTGAATGAGTCAGGAACTTTGCTGTCACAGGAAGATAAAGGAGCTGTCAGATTTCATATAAATATGTTAATATGTGTTCCTAAGATGAATTATTGTCTCAAGGGTTTATAATGACATGAGGGTGATTCATATATTTCTCCTATTTGGGTAAACTAATCCTTTAGGCTACATAATAAACTTGATAGACCGGCAGAGTAAACTCAAACTGTATGCAATGTACCTTCGATAATCTGCTGTTGTTGGTTTTTGATTTCTCCAAAGCTTAGTCCTTTGGTCTCCTCAGATTCATTAATAAGCCACGGATTCACTGCAGATCCAGACCCATTTCCACCTGCCATCAGAGTTGACCTGAAGATAAAGATCAACATATTGTAACATTTCAATTTCATCTTCCATTTTGTTTCTTTTTTCTTTCTTTTTTTTATTTATTTTATTTAAATTTTCCTAGTTTAAACCTGACATTTTGATGGAATAAGAAGCAGAAGATACATTTATTTATTGTTTATTTATTTATTTTTTTCCATTTCTAACATTTTTTTTTAAAGGAGGGTAATTTTCAAATGTTTCAAACTAATAATGTAAAATAAACTTACACGGTTTTCATATGAACATTAAAGGTGACAGTGGAAAACAATACAAAAAAGCAGTAGCTTATATCTTATAGCTGCAAAAGAAATGATTGGGGTTTATGTTAGAAACAGTTCTAGTTTAAAAATATTATCCTTTTTCTTTAATATAAACATACAATTTCAGACAGCAAATTTTTAATCCTGACTGGCTAGCATGCTTAATGTTTAAGAAAGAATGAGGTCAGTAGGTGGAGGATAAGGAGGGGTCTTATGGCTGTTCAGGCACAGCGTTTACAGCAATCTAGTCACTTTGTGTCCACTTTGTGATATGCTCAACAGAAACATTTCTAAATGAAAAAACTGTCCAAAATCTACTTAATTGTCTATGTAAAACATATTTGGTGATGAAATGTATGTAAAATGTAAATCTGTGTTACAAGTTAAACAAAAATTCTAATAATGAATTATATTTTGAATTTAAATAGTATTTGTCTTGCGTTTACATTAATTTTACATTCGAATAGCCAAAATTACAAGTTTCGGTCTTTTAAATGCGAATAATCGCGATTTATTTTTTTAAAGTGCGATTAATTAGTTAATTTTTTTAATCGATTGGCAGCACTAATATATATATATATATATATATATATATATATATATATATATATATATATATATATATATATATATATACACACACAGTTGAAGTCAAAATTAATAGCCACCTTCGAATTTTTTCTTCTTTTTAAAATATTTTCCAAATTAAGTTTAACAGAGCAAGGAAATTTTCACAGTATGTCTGATAATATTTATTCTTCTGAAGAAAGTCTTATTTTATTTTGGCTAGAATAAAAGCAGTTTTTAATTTTTTAAACATCATTTTAGGGACAAAATTATTAGCCTCTTTAAGCTATTTTTAATCGATAATCTACAGAACAAACCACTGTTATACAATAACTTGACTAATTACCCTAACCTACCTTGTTAACCTAATTAACCTAGTTAAGCCTTTAAATGTCACTTTAAGCTGTATAGAAGTGTCTTGAAAAATATCTAGTAAAATATTATTGACTGTCATCATGGCAAAGATAAAATAAAACAGTTATTAGAAATGGATTATTAAAACTATTATGTTTAGAAATGTGTCGAAAAAATCTTCTCTCTGTTAAACAGAAATTGGGGAAAAAATAAACAAGCGGTCTAATAATTCAGGGGAGCTAATAATTCTGACTTTTACTGTATATATATATATATATATATATATATATATATATATATATATATATATATATATATATATATATATATATATATATATATAGATATATATATATATATAGATATATATATATATCTATATATATATTGTAGCGAGCAATTATATGTCACGTCGCCCTGGTCGCTAATTTCACCCAGCTGGACCTTCATCAAGCCAGGATCGCACACAGCTGGAGGACATCAAGCGGAGAGACATATAAGCCCAACCTACGCCAGGAGAAGATGAGCTTCATTCCTTCTATGACTCCCTGTGCTAATGCTTGTCTCTCTGTCTCTCCATAGCGGACTCCAGCTCGTGATGATCCTCCACCCGACTACTCACTGTCCTCCACCTACTTCCCGGAGCACCAGAGCACCTCACCCTAAAGAAGAGCACCTTTTACATCACATTCACTTTGTAAATAAAGCACCCTCCGGGGACTTGTCTGTAAACTCATCCTGTTGTGCCGCTGTTTTCCCTCTGCCTCGCTACAACTGGTGGAGAATGCGCGCTTTTTCAGAGGGAAAAAAATTCAGCACTTACCAGTAAGAAGAAGTAACCACTGAATTTTCTCTGTTTTTCTTCTGTTTACAGACAGGCATCCGCTCTCTCTCTCACTCACGCTCTCTTACTCGGCTGTCATCCCCTCCTGAGTCATGTCGATCGAAGAGGTAGTACGCCATCTAGCGGAAATCTCAAGAAGACAACAAGTGATAACTGAACAACTCACCGCCAGACAAGACCATATGGAACAACAGCTCCGCCAAGCGGCCGGTTCCAGCCAGTTCTCTGAGGTGAGCGCCCATAGATTTATCACAAAACTCAGCGACCCGGATGATATTGATGCTTACCTGCACACCTTTGAGGTAATTGCGGAAAGAGAGAGATGGCCGAAGGAAAGTTGGGCGAGGATGTTAGCGCCATTCCTGACTGGGGAAGCTCAAAGAGCTTATTTCGCATTAGAGACACCGAAAAATGACGACTATAAAGCATTAAAAAAGGAGATACTCGCCAGAATGGGACTCTCCAATATAAGCGCAGCACAACAATTTTCTCAGTGGTCCTATGATGACAAACAGCCGGTTCGGACCCAAGCAGCCAACTTATCAAGATTGGGAAGATTATGGTTGTTAGGAGGAGATCCAACCGCAGTCCAGGTCGCTGAGAAGGTGGTCATTGAAAAGATGATGAGGGCGCTACCCAGACGGCTCCGCACACTTACCAGCATGAGGAACCCCGACTCGCTGGCCGCTTTGGTGGAGGCGGTGGAGCTGGCAGAAGCTCACGTGGCCCGGGAGACTGGGGAGAGAGCGGCTCTGCCACCCCGGAGGGTAAATGCACCATGGCGACCGGTGGAGGGCACAACACGACCAGGCAGCAGACCGGCGGTCCCCAGCCCAGTCGACGAACCGATGCCCACAGAGCCAACAGCACTCTCGGCCCCGGCCTGGACGGCAGGGTGCGTGGTACATCGCAACGTCCCTCCCAAAGCTCCCACCCGAAAAGTATGCTTAGACGGGAAAACGCAGACGGCCACACTGGATACAGGAAGTGCAATAACACTGGTCCACCCAAACACGTTAAAATACCATCAAGAAGGGAAAGGTCGAATCCCGATTACATGCATACACGGTGATACCCGCCACGTACCCGCCCAAAGAGTCACTATAGCGACTAAGTCGGGAAGCTGGCGCATCGAAGTAGGAGTGGTTCCAGATCTTCCTGTACCCCTTCTTCTGGGCAGAGACTGGCCGGGGTTCGATGATCTCCTCACCCACCATCAGGCTCGATCGGCTCGGGCAAAGAAGAACAGCAAGGGACGGGCTCAACGGGACCGCCAAACAGCGCTGATGGCCACCGAGAGCGACAGAGGGGGTGAGTCATCATCGGCTAACCTGTACTATGATCTTTTTCAACAGATTACCGCAGGTGGCGATTTCGGGAGAGCACAGCGTGAAGATGAAACGTTGAAGCACTGCTGGCCACAAGTCCGGATCATAGACGGTAACGAACGGTTTCCCAGCCCTCACCCCCTCCCACATTTTATTGTGCAAAATGGTCTGCTGTACTGTGTCGCAGAGAGGCGGGGGGAAACGAAGACGCTATTGGTCGTCCCGAGGACCAAAAGGGAGACTGTTCTAGAACTGGCACATACTCACCCGATGGCAGGACATCTAGGAGCAGCCAACACGATCAAGAGGATCAGAGATCGTTTCCACTGGCCCGGGTTGGATGGAGAAGTCAAGAGGTATTGTCAGGCATGTGACATATGCCAAAGAACGTCTCCCCAACGACCACCCCCCAGCCCTCTGATACCATTACCCATCATTGAGGTGCCCTTCAACCGCATTGGCATGGACTTGATAGGGCCTTTGCCGAAGTCGGCCCGGGGACATGAACACATCCTTGTCATCCTCGATTACGCCACCAGATATCCAGAAGCGATCCCTCTGAGAAAAGCCACGTCATCGGCAATCGCTAAGGAGCTGTTTTTATTATGCAGCCGGGTAGGAATACCAGCAGAGATACTGACCGACCAGGGCACCCCATTCATGTCCCGGTTGATGGCAGACCTCTGCCGCCTCCTTAAGGTAAAGCAAATAAAAACCTCTGTTTATCATCCGCAGACTGATGGCTTGGTGGAACGCTTCAATAAGACGCTGAAGCAGATGCTCCGCAGGGTGGTGGCAGAGGATGGGCGCGACTGGGACCTCATGATCCCGTACGTGCTTTTCGGAATCAGAGAAGTTCCCCAAGGATCTACAGGTTTTACACCTTTTGAATTGCTGTTCGGCCGCCAACCACGAGGGCTATTGGACGTGGCTCGTCAAGCTTGGGAGCAAGAGCCAGCCCCACAACGGTCAGTAATTGAGCACGTACGGGACATGAGAGGACGTATAGAGAAAGTCATGCCCATCGTCAAGCAACATCTGACCGAAGCCCAGCGCGCCCAACAGCGATTATATAACCGGCCCGCCCAACCCAGAGAGTTTCAACCAGGGGACAAGGTAATGATCCTGATACCTACCACCACCTCGAAGTTTTTGGCATCCTGGAAGGGGCCATATACAGTGGTAGAAAGGGTAGGGCCGGTAAACTATCGAGTCCGTCAGCCGGGACGAAGAAGAGAAGAACAACTTTACCACATCAACTTAATGAAAAAATGGGTTGCAGCTCCAGGTCATCTAGTTGCCTTCTCAGAAGAAACTTCTCCCGTTGTCCATATAGGTGAGCAACTCTCACCGAACCAGAAGGCGGAGCTGCAAGCCTTGGTCGGTCAGTTCAGGGATGTGTTCTCAGAAAAACCGGGCCGAACCACCATCATCCAGCACGACATCATCACCCCACCTGGCACCATCGTCCGGCAGAGGCCTTATCGAGTACCAGAAGCTCGCCGGCTGGCTATCAACGAGGAGATCCAAAAGATGAGGAAATTGGGAATCATCGAACCATCTCGTAGCCCGTGGTCCAGCCCCATAGTGATGGTCCCCAAACCCGACGGCACCCTCCGCTTCTGCAAT